CATATCGAAGGACGTTAGTGGGAGAAAGCCTCGTTTTGAGGTGCTGCTCACACACTTTTCAATCTGTGAAAAGCTTGGACACTTAGACTCCTTGATCAGAAGGAGATCCTCAATCTTTTGGACCTGCCGGACAAGCTGTGCTGGGACCAGGCAGGACAGTGAAAGAGCTGTTGGTCAGTCGGCAGGTTCTGGTAGAGCGACTCACTGAGTTGTGATTACACCCACGAGTATGTCAGTCAGGAAGCTTATGGCAGTCATGATCCATGCCAAGTGTTGAGCTGCAAAACCTTGTTCTCATCGGGTTGCAGCACGTGCCGCGACTGCCCTATCTAACTGCTGCTATCTGATGGATGACGGTGTTTCGCGAGCTCTCAGTGATTCGGTTGCGCAGTTGCCGCAGGGCATCTTGCAGCCGAGAAGCGGCAAGCCCGAGAAAGCAGGAGGGAGAGAGACAGCTTACCTAGTAGCCATTTTGGCTCAAGTGTGTGCACCGGGGCCTGTTACGCCTCTCGCCTTGGGGGGGAGGTCCGCAGGTTGACCTGGACGTACATCCAGGGGGGCCTGTGGGGCTTCACCCGGCCACGCTTGAGTCACTCGCTGTTGCCATTTCTCTTAAGTGGCCCTTTGGTAGTTTCGCACCACCTGGACCCTGACCGCGGCCCGCTTCGCACGTGCCAACGTTGCGGTGCACAAGGTGATCTACCTGGTTTTTCGGGGGGAGCCGCCACAGCTCCCACAGCAGCAACATAGATGGACAAGGGGAAGCCGTGTCGGCTCCTCAGATATGCTGGGGGAGTATGCCAGCCAGGCTACATGAAGACACATGGGCGGAATGACCCAGCATGTCGACTGCATGGATCGACGGAGAGGGGGACATCGTCAATGGTGCCCCGCCGCTCGAGCCCGACCCAACAAGCCACCTCGAAGGCGAGAGGAGCGAACGAACCAGAGCTCGGGGGATCGAGGCCAACACCAGCACCAGCGGCAGGCCCTTTCTCACACATGGTGAGATTTGAGACGCGAGAAGGAATGGCACTCTTGTTTAACCCAGCCCCGCTGGACAGATGGATCAACAACCATGTTTATGTGGAGCCGGGCACGGGGGAGCACCGCTATAAGACCACGGGGGAGCTCCTCACGGACAACATGGTGACCTCCTGCCAACAGTACGAAGCACGCTTCGCAGACAGGTCGGACGGGGGAAGCAAAAAAGAGGGACGCTTTCCACCACCAGTCCAGATGACCGAGATGGTCGAAGCCGAAGCCGGGGAAGAAGTCAGCAAGTACTACGAGCGACAGCAAGCAGGACTACTACAACTACACCACTTGGGACCTCGACGGAGCCGAACACTACAACTATCGTGGCAGCAGGCCAGCCGGGGAGGGATACACCGAACCACAACGTGGACCGACACCACAGCCAACGAGCCGGGATGGGGAAACCACCGGCGACCATGCGAAAAAGGAGCACAGTGATGAGAGCCTGCCAGACTGGGGGAGCGATCCGGAAGTCACAGAAACTACAGAAAGCCAAGTCAACGACGCAGGCAGCATGGCCATGGGGACCCGCAAGACCCTCTGAGGGGCCGCCAGCCGCCGCGGACAGCTCGGGCCCCACCGGAGCCAGTGGCTCCGCCTCGCAGCTCTGGCTTGGGCAGTGCCTGGAAGTCAGTGTTTTTCTCGTGCAGAAACAGATGAACACTGGCAGCAGACACCACTCTACTACGAGTTCTTGGCCGAGCTCCACCACACGACCGAGCCGAGCCCTGGCGCACAGGCAACAGCTCGCCATCGCACCAACCAACCGCTGCCCCCGACGACAGCGTGCATGAGTGGGCATCCCCTCTAACTGGAATCATACATGCAACAGCAACAGCACCCGGCCCAACCCAACCACTCCGACCCGAGGGCCACCCCCTCAGCAACCACCTCAGCCGGCGAGCTCATCCACAAACCCAGCCCCAACAGGACTCACTCCACCCACCCAACCCAACTTCGCCGACTTGCTGAACCGGACCAGGCCGGGGGATCCGACCATGTAAGGAAGCAGCAGCAGCACAGACCCAGGTCGCAGGGATACCACCCCACGAACAGCCCAGAAACCAGCAACACCACCGGGCACCAGCAGTCCGAAACAATGGGGCAGCTCGTGGAGGATTCGGAGCCCACTGCCAGCGCGGCGGATGGTCCACGACATGGTGGCAAGCGCAGGAACCTGCACCGGCAAGGTCAGGGGCACTGCGGCTGGCACTCCACAGCACTACGCCGACGAGCCAACGAACGACGAGGACATGCCGGGCACTGAGACCGAAGATGAAAAGTGCGACCTCAGATGCCGACGCCGCTGCCAGGCGAGGAGCCGGCACAGGAGCCTTCCTTCAACATCCTTCAACGGGAACACCGCTGAAGCCGACCACCACTAAAACGGAGAGTGCACCGGCTTCGACCCCTTTTACACGACCGGGGACACCGCCGGCTACCAGACAGCTGCTGTGGCAGCCGGCACAATTGAGGGACAGCCCTGAGGTCGACCATGACCCTCTCAACCCGCTCGGCACGACGCACAGTCGCCGCCGAATGCATGCGGCCTTTGATGACAGCTAGTGTCCTGTTTTCCCTAGGTGTGCACTGTTCCGTGTTGTTGCATGTTGTTGCCACAATGGTCGCATGCAACAATCAGGGCTCCCACACAAAGTGCCGAGGTACCCCAGTCGCAACTAGCACGAAAGTCCTAGCCAGTGTTGCTGCTTGGAACGAGCAAGGGGACCCAGCGCACAACAAAGAGCCGGCAACAGGTAGTACAGAGGCAGTTTAGCGAACCTGTGGCAAGGGGACGTCCAGCGAGTCCAGTGTGTTACAACCGCTACCTTGTTCATTTTCCCTGCCCCTCTGCTGCCACCCGCCCCAAGGACCCTTGCCACACAGAGCTCAATGGGGGTCAACAACGAAGCCACAACCTTCTACACGTGGTAGAGAGAGAGAGAGAGAAAAAAAATAGTAGCCATCTTGGCTCAACCCTAAACCCTAAACCCATTTCGGGGTTGGCCACTGCTTAGAGGAACTTGTGCTAGGAACGGGGAAACCGACGGGGCGACAGTCTTTCTAAGTCTACTGGTTGTGAACTTGGCCCTGGCGTGATAAGACGGAAGACTGTGAGCCTCCTTGGAGTCCTCCCAATCTCTAGTAAAATCCGACGAAACTCCATGCGGTGCGACTTTGTCAGCTGGGCAGGTGGGAAAAAAACACATTTTCGGTTTGAGCCACATGTCGCAACACTTTGGCACGAGTAAGCTGAGTGGAAACAATATAATACAATCTTCAACAAACGGGCGTCCCCAACGGGGGCTCGCCCTCAAGCCTGGCGAATGAACAAGACAAGCTGCGCGCGCGAGAGCGGTCGGGTTGCGTGCTCTTGGTTGGCTGTGGAAGAGAGAGAGAGAGAGAGTGGGGCAACCCTCTTGTCCCTAGCCCTGGCGAAAGAAAGTAGTCCTCCGGGCCAGAGGGTTTCTGCTCTCATATCTTTGGCAAGCAAGCAAGCAGGCAACAAGTCTTGCCCTTGGCTTGTAGTGCCGTTTTGAGTGGTTCCGGGTTGCACTGCTCCCAGCTGCACCGAGATCTTACTGTGCTTGAGCGAGTGCCCAATGGTGTCAGACCATTGCAGACCCCCCGGAAAGGGGGGGCGAGCAACGCCCTCGTTAGGCCAGGCAAATAAAGAAAGAAAGCAGCCCAGCTGCGGCGGGCTTTCACGAAGGCGAGTTCCGATTCCTGTAAAAAAAAGAAGACTGCTGGTGACATTAATCATTTCAGGAGTTTTAAGGGCGCGCATTGCGGCGGAAGCAGCTTAGGCGTAGTATAGAAGGTGGGAGGCGACACAAAGCCAAGCCGAAGGCAGACTCAAGCAGCTACATTCAACTAGTTTCTGCTGTAAGCTGTAAGCGAGACAAAGCCATGTCCCGACTGTCCTGACCTCGTGGAGTTCATGGCTTCGGGCAAGGTCTTGTCGCATACTCAACAAGCCAAGCTTGGCTTGGCGAGAGCGCTGGTAGCCGTGCCCTCAGACGACTGAGCTGTCGTAGCACATGCTGAAAGTTCAGGTTCTGCCAACGTGTTCGCAAAGCTTGCCGAAGGCAAACCCCGATGTTCTCGTGCTGCACAAGCCCGGGATGCCCTATGACGTCTGGGACTCTTGGGGAGCGATGCATATGCCGGCGTCGGGTTGGATTCTGAGGACCGGACCTCGCACATGGTTTTGGAAGTCATCAAAAGCCACGTTGCGAATCGCGGTCTTGGCTATCCAAGCGACCCCATGACGAGGCCTGTGCTGAGCAGGCTAAAACCGAGATCCATTGATTGCGTTGCCTGTCCAGGTCGCCACGTACTTGCTTGTTTACCAGCACCGGGCTCAGGTTGAGATGAGTGCTAGGAAATTGCGCTCAGTGTTGGAGAAACACTCGCAAGCACTGATTTACACATGCTCGAGCAGGCTCAATAGACCATTCTGTGCCTGAGGTTCGAAACGATACGGTCTGCAGCTCGCAGATCGAATTTACCTCATAGGGCCTACGGGTGAAATTCGCCAGGCCGCTTGTCACAACACAAGCCGTATTTCGAATTGTCGGTCTCAAGCAAGCAGAGCTCGAAGTCGCCTCTCAAATGTCCGATGCTGCTCGGAGGTCTCCGCTGACGAAGTCACCGAGGGAATGCTGGCATAGTCAGTGGCCACTCAGTTTAGGTGTTCATGCCAACGCCAAAGTCAAAGGGGGGTGGGTCAGCACTTTGGCATGCTAATGACGACGGCAGTGCTTGGTCAAGCCACAAGCACTCAGAGCCGGATTCCGTCATGCGGGTAGTTGTGTGCCTGCAGCGTGCAAGCTGTTTCCTGGCTCGCGTGATGGAAGGTGCGTCGACATGACAAAAACTGTGTTGTTTGCCAGCTCTGTTTGGTGGCAATCACTCGTCCAATGCCGACGTCATTCCGACCGATTGCTTTATTGCTGCAGGATTTCTTCAACGGCATGTGTTACCCGATGGCGTACCAGGCGCAAGATGCCAACAAATTGCTGAATGCCTACTGCTTGCGCAAGCAGATGGAGCTTGAAGTGGCGGGTAAAGGTGCTTGGGTTCAGCCGCTGCAGCATAGGCATCTATTGGCACCCCCTTCATCCAAGCATTGCCATCCATTGGCGAAATCAGGCTGAAACATGCAACAACGTCAAGCAGAAGATCACAGACGCTGAACGCGGTATAAGTTCAAGATGTTGTATGGCGAATCAGAAAGCAGTGCAAACATTTTACACGGACTTTTGCGCTGTTTTGGGTATTGTTCATGCATATGCCTGATGCATGTGTCCCAGTACTTCCCACATTCCAATAGCAATCTCGCTGCAAACCCTACCCGGAAATGCTAGCATGAGTTTTTCTCGTCAGGCGAGGTCGGCTATGCCAACAAACTTCGATTGCGCCACGGGCTAAGACGCGATGTTTGTTGATGCCATGGGTCGCAATGTACCCCTGACAAGCGCAGAGAATGGGTACACGTGATCGTCCAAGTGTCGAACTGCGTTTGTTATGACGAGTTTGGCATGAGAGCAGCATCCGAAGCATTGGACATGCGTATCTACACATCACACTTGCCAGACGCAGTAGGACCAGTGAATATACGTCATAGTCACAGCGGGCAGGATTTGGCATACACCCTGGGCTGGTCTGCGGTACACCTGGCCTGCTGGTGCAATCAAGCAAGCACAACCCAACAGATGTGACACCATGTGGCATTGGCATGCATTGGCAATGGCAGGGCATCATGGTGAACTTGGAGAAGACGGGGCAACTGGTGCATGTCTCGCACTTGGAGCCGGTGCCTTACTTGCCGAGCCGCACGGAGGCACAAGGATTTGCAAAGACCTGTGCTGCTCACTTACGAAAGATGAAGGAAGTCTCCACTTGAAGATTTGAAGGTTGAACGATGCTTTTTCCAGAGTATATGCCAGTAACACCGACGATCACGATGCATGTCAAGGGACCACGCTACTAGTAGTAGTTACTGAACTGGAGATGGCACTTTGTTTTGCAGCGCAAAAGCTCACGCCCACAGAGGCATTGTGGCATTTCTGAAGTTTCTGCACGCACATGCATCATATGTTCGGCTTTTCTATCTGATGCACTTCAACTCCCGGGGGCTTCAAAATCAATTTGACGGTGGCGCTCGTTCCGCAACTAAGCTGGGTAAGATAGATTTCCTAGGCCAAGCACGGTGGGCGTAGTCTGGCATGCATTCTTGCATTGTGTGTGCACTCCTGCGACCAGGTGAATTCCAGCTGCTACTAGGTTTGGGTCTGCTTCGGTGCAGTTGTGGGTAGTTGTGTTGTGTTGGCATGTGTTGGTCCACCAGCGAAGAGAAAGCGATGGAACTTCGCAATAGCACCGCCAAATCGCGAAAGCCTTCGTCGTCAGCTCAAGCCAGGCTCGATCAGGCTCGCTCCTGAATGAAAGCTCTGAGAGCATGCAGAGGGCCGAGTTGATTTCAAAACCGCTGGCCTGTGATTTGTGTGCCCAGCTCCCAACCCGACAAATTTGAAAACGTCCACAATGGCACACACACACACTAGCAAAATCTAGCAAACATGCAGAGCCTCGGGCCTGGAGCTTGTAATCAACGAATGTGTAGGTTGGCGTACGCGTGCGAAGAATTCGGGGCACCCTCCAGCCGAAACCAAGGAAGGACGTCAGCGAGTGCCGGGCCCAGTTCGCAGGCTTGGGGCAGGGCCTCGGCTTCGGATCGCATTGGGGCGTTGGGAGCGTGCACGTGTTATGAGCCAACTTTGAGTCAACTTTGCAGACGCCGGCGGAAGCTCAACCTTGTGCGCCAAAGCATCGCAGATGATGCGGAACGTTGCCCATAGTCTTTGCTGAGGCCTCAGCATATATGACGCTAAGGTGGCGTGTGCGTGGACTTCCGCTGACGTGCTTATTGCGAACCGAGTTCGAGGAAGAAACACAGGAAGGGAGCATGCTTGCACACTTGTGCCACTCTTGTGAATGCGGTTGGCTGTGAAGGAATACCGAATCTTGCCCGCATACGTGCACCTGCTCAAGCAGAGGAACGCCGGAAGCCTAGTTGAAGAGCGATTGCAAGAGCTTCTGTAGTTTCTGGTTTGAATCTCAGGTGCGAAGACCATTTGTCGACCTGCCCCCACCAAAGAACAGGAGCTGTTTTGTTTGGAGGGCCTTTAGTGACTTTCCAATTTCGATCGACAACTCCGTGCGTGCTTCCGCCTGGCTTCGTGTAGCGAACGCAGTGCTGCAAGGCACGGACTGACAGGCTCCAGTTTTCGAGCATCGTTAACTTGCAGCTGAGCTCATATGTCTACCGTGCACTACGGCTTCAGGTCGAACCTCGATTCGCGTCGGTTTTCTTAAACGCTCTCATCGATTGTGAATGCTGGTCTTGTGTACATGTCAGGACGATACAAACTCTTGGTCCTGCGCCCTTGCTGCCATAAGCTGCTCGAAGCGTGAGTGTTGCAGCCAGTAGTCACATTTTCTGACAGCGTGCTACTGTCAGGTGCAGTACACGCGAGATACTCCTGAGCTGAGGACATGTACTGAAGCACTGTTGGGCGGCAGAGTGATGATGCACAGACTGCTGAGTGGCAGGACCACTTGGTACATGGAGAATCAACCTATCCAGGACTTGCAGTGGCTTCTCGAAATTCTGCGACAATGAAGTCCTAGGGCCCAGTACAGACTACCCTCGTGTTCGGCACCACGCCGCGCAGGGACCCGCAACGATGCCACTTCCTGATGCCAAATTTCCTCGCGACATCTCACGCAGACTTTGATGCCTCACGAATCCCAGAGCGTCCCACAACAATGAGTTCTGCATTTACCTACCAGCATTGAATGTTTGTGAAAGTAGTTTGCTGCTCGCCAGAGTCGCGATCCTCGAAGCATCTGCGATGATAGACGCTAAGCCGCTAAGCATCACAGCAGCTGATCAACAGATTTGGTGCCGGCCAGAAAGAGGAGAAGAAGATACAAGCAAGGAGTTCAAGAAGGAATGAAGTCCCAGGAAGGTGTGCATAGGCATTGTGGGGCTCTTTGTCAAAGCATGTCTACTCGAAGCAGCAAGTCAATGACCTAACAACCCGAGGTGGGTGGGAACAAACACAACCCGAGGGAGGCAGTACCGCCTACGTGCACAAAAGCCTGCCGCACTGCCGCCAGTCTAGCATTTGAGATTGAATTCGTTAATGTTATGTTTCAAATTCCCGCTGCTATCACTACTGAAATTCCTGCCGGCTGACAAGACTCGGACCGAATGATCTCCGAATCGGCGTGTCAGGAGGTTGAAGCGAATCCTTCGGTCCGTGGACACGTAAGCAGCCCAACGTGATCTTTTTACTTACCTTGGATTTGACATTGCTTTCCAAAAGTCGGCGTTCTTGAACCTCCCTGAGTACAAGCCATGGCATGTGAGACACCAAAAAGTGTTCACAACATACGCGCAATCAGAGACTTTGCACCAGTTACCCCCAGACAACACAGCCAAATAAACGGCATGTATCTCGGCCCGTGTACACGAATGGTCTGATCCAGGGGTAACTTCTGCATATTCGCTCCGACACGGAGGTGTTACGAACTAGCAGGGCAAGGCTCCCCTTGACAAAGAAGCTTGAACCCTTGCCAACCATCAGTAAACGCCTACTCGGCACGCGCTGGCTCAAAAGGCACTGAGCTGTGCACATGGTCGCGCTGACGAATCTCTTGTGTTTGCCGAGATTGGAAAAGGACTTCGGTATTCCAAGACACATGATTTGGCAGTGTAGACGCGTAGAACGGGCATTCTTGAGAGATGTGTTTGTGACTTTCACGACAACCGCAGTGCAAACAAGAGCCACATGTGCACATTCCCGCTGCGCATCTTCTTGCGTTCGTGTGCACAGAGTCTTGAAGCAAAACAAAACTCGAAAGATTGCACTTGCAGAGTCATTGTTGGGAAGTCACTCAAGGAATGGTCGCAAGTGCGACCACTGTCCATCAGCAATCGGGTTCTGTTCTCATGGGTTGATTCTGAAACGTCCTGTCGGCAGGGAATCTTCGCTGAAGAGCGACTACGTTCTTGTTTGAAGTACGGTGGCTGAACAGCTTGAGCTGAAGAGGCGTATCGTCGCTGCGTTTGAACTTAGATGGATCTCCTTTGCAAATATCGATGTCAAACTCCTTGCACCGGCACGCAATGACATTATGTTTGCAGGCTCTGATTGCTGGAAGCTTTCGGGTCGCTGGTTGGAAAGTATCGCACTTTTCAAGATCCTCCATAGCAACCGGACTGTCTTGCAAAAGTTCTTTGCGAAGTGACGAAAATTAACACATGCAGGACCCCTGAGAATGCAACAGCATTCCTCATTAAGTTCTTGCTCATCGAAAGACGCGAGACTATATACATGAGACTATAGCTTCTCGCAAGAGATACATGTCATGCAATGTTGGTGGCTGGACTTTTTTCTCCGCAGATTCAAACTCTTGTCACTTTCTTCGTAAGCGGGACACGACTGCAGTCTTATCAACACTTAGCAGTTGACCCACTGAGGTATCGAAAGACTGTAACTGTATCTCATGATCTCGTGCCAGGCTTCTCGGAGCTTACCATGATGCCGTTCCGACGACCAAGCTTGCAATCGTCAACGAAGTTCGCAAGTGAAACTGAGGGGCCGCGACGCTGATATGATGAAGTCAAAACCAAAACACACTGTTCGCTGTTCACCATGAGATGATTGACACACTACATGCTTGCACTGCCGCATTCGGGGCGGGAGCAGAGCGGGGTCCAGGACTAATCTGCACCCGCCATGTCGGGGCACAGACAAAGCCCTCATTTTGTAATGGGCATCACACTTTCGGGTCCTTATGAAATTAGGGGTTTACATCCTTAGTGCAAGGGGCTTCCTCCGGGCACACGAGTTCAGAGTCCTGATGCATGACAGAGCAGAGGCAAAGGGCAGAGAAACCGCAGACGCGGGACAACGAGGTGTCGAAGGGCGACTTTAGAAGACACGGGACTCCACTCAGATTGAGAAGGTATCCGAAGCCAGAGCACACAGATGGCCCGCAACAAAGACAAGGCGGAGCGTCGCAAGCCAACGACGTTCCGAGCTTGAAAGCAGTAGTTAAGGACGTCCGACGGAGCCAGACCCCACCACACCAGACTTGAACGAGTGGTAACAAGAGTTAAGTTGTTGGGATTGCCCACCCCGCATTGAGCTCAGCTAAGCCAAAACGAGACGGTGGAGTTTGTCGCAACTGGAAGATCCATACAACCTTTTGCCTCCTCAGGTAAAGCATGGTAAACTGGGTGGGAACCAGCCACTTCATGCCACAAAGACAGCACAGAATTGGGCAATACCAGTATGACTAGTATATGACCTTCAGCAGGACCCGACCGAAGCCCTGCGAGAAACTGCGTATCTGTGCAGCGAGCTTCAGTCGACAATGGCACTGGCCAAGGCACGAGACTATTGTTAACCATGCTATAATGGATGAGCTGCAGCATGTTTGCAGCAGAGAAGCTTTGCAGGCATGTTTTGAATTCGGAGGCAGAATCGACTCTCTACGCGGTCAACAGTTTGCTGGACAATGCGGTGCGCCTTCCTGCTTTGCGCTAGACTCCGCTAAACGTTGTACTTCTGGCTGCTAGATTCTAGATACCATAAAGGGCCAAACCAAAAGCAAGCACGATGATGGAGACCATGCAACGCGAGCTTGGCTTGACTTCCGAGCAGTTTTGGGCGGCAGGCTGCATGGGTGCCCTCAGGGATATAAACTTCGCAAGTAGATATGGCTCGTGAACCAACAAAGCACCCGAACATAAACTTTTGGGTGGGATATTGCTACCATGTTAGTTTACTCACGCAGAGGATTATGGGATGTCCAGAGGGTATCCTAACCTCATGGGTTTTGTTTAGGCGCTTGCATGGGTTTGATGTCAACTGCTTAAGCATGTGCCACAGATGGTGCAGTGGGGTCGGTGGGAGCCACAGAGGTATCCGTGCTGGACGCATACAAGCGTCTGCACGACTCGAAGAAGCGGGGTCAGCGGTCCTTGGCAGAGGTCCCCATGGAACACCTGGCAAAGGCACGCCATCGCCAACTTGCATTGAAGGATCGCTTGTGTGCTTGTGCAGTGCTTGCAGGTGTGGACGACAAAGCACATGGACAGATCCGACCACCAAGGCTTGGAGCACAGGAGCGCTTCCGGACTGGTGCCACGAGGCCTCGTGTCCCTGAAGTTTGCCTGGACAGGAGTCATCACTCCACGCGGGGAGAGGCCCAGAGACAGAAGCGCTCTCAGAAAGAATCGACGTGCCTTCGCTGCGAGGTTCTCACGCATCTGCCTCAAAAGCCGCGTAAGAAATCACAGGTGTGCTTCAAGTGGGTGCAGCTGTTCCTGCTCCTGAATCTCAGGAAAAAGACCGACCTCGTTCTTGTCGGACACTTTGGCACACTTGCGACTGAGCTTTGTGAAGACCCTGCTGAGTTGCAAATGTTGATGCTAAGGCATAGCTTCTGAGACTTGCATTGCACAATTAAGCAGAAGGCCTCGAAGCAGTGAAAGTTTATGCTGGCACAATGCCACAACACTGCAGAGATAGACTCCTGCACAAGTGCCAGATTGAAAAAGATGATTGTGCTTGCCTTTGCCTTTGGCATCTGCGCGAACAATTGGGTTAGAGCCACCCACAAAGTCTGCAGTGTGCTTATCACTGAGTGTCTCCACTTCCGGCAGTGCTCTATAGCAGCCCTGGTTGTGTCAGACTTGGCCCCAAGTCTCGATGTTTCGTCATGGGACAGTCGCTCCAGGCAAGCATGGGATGTAATTGTTCTTGCTTTCGATTCTTTCGTGGTGCCATTGGCGAGGCTGAAAGCTATGCCGGGCACGCACCCGAGCCTTGAAACCTGAAAAAGAAAGCTCTGGTGCAGCGCATTGCACTGCAGGGATTGGGTTCCAGAGCCGGCTGGGGAGGCAAGGCTTGGCTTCACTCCCCTCAGGTTTTGGAACTGCCTTTCCCCCTGATTTGCCAGAGGATGATGTTAACGGCCATGTCCAGAAGATTCGAGCTGAACTCAGGGTTGCAGGCAACTGCGATTTGGTTCGCGATGCTGTGATGGTCTCATACGGGTGTTGTCCTAAACCGTTGTCTGATGTTGTCTGTAAGTTTATGCCAGCATCTGTTCCAACCCATAACATTAGGCAAACCCCTCGTGCGCGCGCGCGAAAGCTTCGCGGAAGAGCCGCGATAGAGAACTGCTCAGTTTGATGGATGTCGTTTTGGTTTAATGTGTTTTTACTTTTTACATATGAATTCTTCGAAGGGGGATTGAGCTTGTGAGTTGGACAGCTGTACAGCGAAGGTGCAAGTCGAAACGAATCTAGAGTCACGGCGGAGCACATGCCCAGTAAAGATGTAAGTATCCCGCCCCTGCTGAACATCTTCCAACGTATTGCTCGCCAAACTAACGGCAGCACCAAGAAACACTGTTTGGAATCTGTGTTTCGGAAGTGTATGGTTGATTTAATTGCACGAAAGGCGTGCGAAATGCAAATATGCCCAGCAAGACCATGTTGGCCCACCTTAAGGACTCTATAGCTGCGTATTGCTTGGTATAAGAGCCTTTCTACAGCTTTCATAGATGCGTTCCGAGTTATGTTGAGGTGTTCTTGTTTTTGCACGTGGTGGGTTAACTGCGCCTAGATCTGAGCTTCTGGATGAGCTGCATCAAGGGCACGAATTTAGCCCCCCGGTATCAAGCCTGACGGGTTTGGAAGTTACCTTCACCTCAGCGTAAACCCACCGCTGAAATAATTTGGACAGGTACTGATGTGTCTGCTGTTTTGAATAGCACGTGAATGGATTGACATGATTGAAATCTCCACTCACGTCAAGCAGCAAAGACGAGCTCTACCAGAGCTGCATTGACTTGCTGTGGGACCGGTCCAACTGATGATTGATTGGGACATGTCTCTCCACCGGTTTACCTCCCAAGGAAGCGCGTGCCGAGCACATGCATCTACGTCAATGCATGGCAAGCAAAGCAAACGAGACCGTCTGAGCCGGAGCATCAAATCGTGTGTATCGATGGTTTGAGTCTGAGTTGGTTGCAATGAGGAAATATGAGGAACCTGGAGTCACAACTGAAACTATGTGAGGGTTGGCCTAAAGTGTTTCTCCCAGCAACACTCCCTTCCGCGCCCCTTTGGCGTGGCTTCTGTGCTCTTTCGTGCGCGAGGAAACACACAAAAACAACCTCGTGGGGGGACAGACAACTGGGCCTTGGAATACAGATGCTGATGTCGAGTCTATTGCGCCTGCCACACGAAACAGGCTTCTTCTTGCAAAAGTTGACAGCATTTTCTTTTTGCATTTGCAGTTTGGAATTGCTTCAAGCTGGGGTTTTGGACACGCTAGTCGCTGTTTTCTCCTTGGTGAGATTCTTGCGCGGGAAGCCGGAGAATAAAAGTCGCATTGGCGAACATACCGGAAATACCACGCCTGTCACACGAAACAGGGTTAAACACAGGATTGAGCATCTACTGAAGCAAGCCTTTGTGTGATACGAGATGAGATGATATGAGATGGTATGGGATGGTATGCGAAGATCTGAGATGATATGACATGGTATGGGATGGTATGAGGTGATATGAGACGAGAGGAGGTGACATGATAGCAACTCCTACCATCCCATGCCATGCCATATCATCTCATATCATCTCAGATCATCAAGTACCATCCCATACCATCTCATATCATCACATTTCATGTCACACAAAGGCTTGGTTCAGTAGATTCCCGATCCTGTGTTTAACCCTGTTTCGTGTGACAGGCGTGGCATATCCAGCGTCATCCCCATGCGCAGCCCATGCATCCATCGCCATGCCCGTGCAAAGCAACATCCTGACGTGCATCAACATGCAGCCACGACCAAGCAAGACTAGCACAGAGTATCTGCAAACATGACAACACGACCATGAAGAATAAACAGCAACAGGAAGACAAGCGTACTGAATCTTGAA